ATCGCGAATACAGCAAAATTCGTCCAGTTTACTGTTAACTACCCTATAGTGCACATAAACAATGACCTTATTCACCTTCGAATCAGATCGGCGGAATCAGTCTAAGTGGTGGTGGTGGTGGTGGTAGCTCAGTGGTTTAGTCGCTGTCACTGGTGTGCTTCAGATCCTATAGTCCGAGGTTCGGGCCCCACCACCGCCACCCATCTTAAGTGGTTGGCAGCTTTGCTGTCGTCCGATTCAACACCACGCCTAACCTATCGGAGCATTACGTGGTTCGTCCCTCCAAGTCCTGAATTACCGGTTTCCATGACGGAACTGCAGGTCTTCGTGACTATGGGGTTCGCCCCGGCTGCCGTTCACCACACAAATGTGTGTAATAAAAAATACTGTTTCTCCAACTTCGAAAAGGCTCGTCAGTCACACAAACCACAAACGAGCAGGCCTTGATTGACACCGAAGTGACCGAGTGCAAATATCCATGCTGCACACAGATCCGACCGGAGCTAAGTGTTCCCGTGGCCCTACAGTTGGTACCCAATGTCTCGGGAAGGCCTGCTTAAGTGACACTCAACTGGGAGCAAACTACTTTAGTTCCAGAAATCCGTGCTTTGTTTTCAGTAATCTATGGATCGAAAAGATACGGTCATTGACTAACTTAGTATACTGTTCAACCTATCTGCTGATCCATTTGAATTAGCCATGAGTTCGTATAGGCCATTTGCATTTACGCATTTTTTCGTCTTGTTCGTATATGAGGATCTAGTTGGGTGTACTGCTATTGAAGAAAACCTAATCATGTGTTTCACGGCACCGTCTCAAACGAGCAGTCTTCCATATGTACACTAGGAGAGCCCTATGATACGTGTATCTTTCTATCCCTCACCCATTTTATTTCTGTTGGACCACATCTCTCGCGTATACCTGTCGTTTTCCTTTCAAATGGTCTAACTCACCGCCAGTTCTCTCTGTACTGTACTGTACTGTGCATTGCATTCACTCACTCACTCACTCTCTCTCTCTACGTTCACTAAACGGAGACAGACAGATACTTCGTGTACGAACCAATCACAGCCAAGCGGTCCGCATACTAACCAAAGACAGAGAGTTTTTGCTAATGGTCAGCGCACCAATCAATCACACTGGGATTGTCCGAACCAGCAGAACCAACAATCTCACCCGAGCGGCCCGACGTGGACCAGCCAACGACGATCGGGTTGTTGGAATGGTCAGCCTACCAACCAATCACAACGAAGCAGCTCGTGGACCAACCAACCATGGACGGGCAATTCAAGCAGTCAGCCTACCAACCAGTCACAGTCGGCCTACTCGTACAGTTCGCGCGCAAACCAAGGACAACAGAGTGACTCGGGTTCTCCCCCTCCAATCAGTTTGGCCTCACTACCTTCGGAAGAAGCAGTCAATCAATTGAGAGTACGCGAGTTGAAACGGTTAATGACGGACAATGGGGTCAGTCCGGATGGGATTTTGGATCGGGCGGAGCTTGTGGATAAGGTGATCGAGTTATGGCGTCGTACACGTAACCCAAAACCTTCCGGTACGTATAACTATGAAGAAGCAAGCTGTTAGACACCTATTCACCTGTGCGCTTCAATGATATCCCTATGTGAATAGCTAGTGTTATTCTATCCTAGTTTTGTCCAAGTAAGCCATCCTTACAGATTATAAGAACATGCAGTAGCGAACCAGCTCGTTTGCGGTGATTCATTTGCAGCTTAATACATCACAAACTGTTTATTGTGTGTGTGTGTGTGTGTGTGTGTGTGTGTGTGTGTGTGTGTGTGTGTGTGTGTGTGTGTGTGTGT